GTCCCATGCTGCTGCCTCTGTATCAGAGGCAGCAGTGTGGGGCAGCAGGCAGCTGGTCTGCACCGGGAGCTGGTTTTTAAACTGGTTCCCCTTGTGGACCAGCTCCCACCCGGTACCCTGTGCTGCTGCCTCTGATACTTTGGGGTGAGGCATACCCAGCCACCCGAATGGAGGAGCCACGTGTGGTGCGTTGCTCTGCATCAGTCCTGCAAGAGATGGTCGCGTGTATCCTGCCCGTTACTCTTGCACCAAAGCAATCACGTGAAGCAGCATTTGAAAATCGAAACCCCTCATGAGGCCTGTGATAAAACAGGTTTGGGGGGGGCAGAGCGGAGAAGGTCAAAGCAGGGTGAATTGCTGGGAGACAGGACTACTATAGCCCAAACGGGGGGGTCTTTCATTATAAGGCACCAAACCAGTCACCAAGAACACTACTTTGGCTAACCAGAAATGACCCAAGCAATTCCCTCCGACACTCCAGCTTTTCCTGTGCCGCCACCAGACCCGCACCTTGTACGAGTGAGAGGCTATAAAACCCAATCTCCCCAAGTCCCAACAGGTTCTCCCAGGCCCAAAGGACCAGATGCATTTCCAGGTCAATTTATACCTCAGCTCTTACCCGAAAGAGCCCTCTGGACCAATTCTTTAGACTCTACAATCTAAAGGTTTATTCAAAGAAAGAAAAGGCTGAGAGTAGGATTGTCAAAGAAATCACATGAGGTACACCAATCGCAACATTCCCAGGACAGGTCCTTAGCACAGATGGAACCAACTGCGAGCTTAAAAGTCTCTGGAGTTCATCCTCTGTGGGGTCATCAGTCCTTCCGGGCCCGATTCGGAGCAACGCTGCTTCTGAGGTGATGCGCTGGGTGAAGACAAACGGAGGAGCCAGTGGGGCCCTTGTTATAAACTCGCCCACGGGGAGGGAATCCTCTTGTGAAGGTCGCTCCCAAACTGGAGTTTGTCCCATGAGCACGTCACCGGTCCATGTGCAAATAGCCATGAGAAGCCTGTTCGACTTGCAGCAGAACTCCTCGGATGTGCACTGGTAAGGTTCATTGGCAGAGGCGCGCTGCCATTCACTCAGCAGCCACCCCTCACCATAGGTGAGCAACGCTTGCTGGCATCTCCCAGAAGCAAATACTTGAAATATCAGCACAGCGCCAATACTCTGAACTTTACCTACAAACTTCACACAGGCATAGGTACGGCACAAACAGAATCAGCAAAGCGTCGGCTTTCCATAGACACCTCCCTTGGCCAACCCGTGTGCAACATTTGGGCCCCACACACACCCTGGGTGCAACAATGTTCTGTGTGTTCATAGTCAAATCCAAGCATGTCCCCAGGACCAGGCCGGATGGAATTGTTCATGGAACCATGAGGAGGTGTGGACAGAGTGAGAATTCTAACGATCCGGATTAGTAAGCACTGGGGCAGGTTCCTCAGGGACCCCTCCCCTTGCTGGAGGGTTTCAAGAATACGATTGACAAGCACATGTCAGGGATGGTCTAAGCTGTGTCAGCAAATGGTTAGTAGCCCATCAATTTATTTTCCTTTTCGATACTCGTCCATGGCACCAGCAAAGCTGAGAACTACTTGGCCAGAGCAAATAAGAACATAAGAACATGAGAACGGCCGTACTGGGTCAGACCAAAGGTCCATCTAGCCCAGTAGCCTGTCCGCTGACAGTGGCCAGCACCAGGTGCCCCAGAGGGGGTGGACGGAAGACAATGATCAAGTGATTTGTCTCCTGCCATCCCTCTCCAGCCTCTGACAAACAGAGGCCAAGGACACCATTTTATCCCCTGGCTAATAGCCTTTTATGGACCTAACCTCCATGAAATGATCTACCTTCTCTTTAAACTCTGTTATAGTCTTAGCCTTCACAGCCTCCTCTGGCAAGGAGTTCCACAGGTTGACTACACGCTGTGTGTTATATAATTATAACATAGGCCCCAATTCAGGAAAGCACCGAGGCATGTGCTTTAAAATGTAAGCACATGCTTTAGGGGCTTTCCCAGATCAGGATCTAGATTAGTATCCTGTACATCAGCAGGAGGGAGGGCCCATAGGGAGCCCAGCTCTGTTTAGTTGATATGTCCAGGTCTTCAAAACCACGGATAAGAAACACGGGCTCGGGAGCTGCGTCTCTGGACCCAGTGACAGAGACCAGACCCATGGGGGGAAAGGGAGCTAGGTGCTATTTGCTAAGGGGGTGTGAAGGGACACTTAGGGGGTGTGAAGGAAAGTTTTGTACGGAGTAGGGGTGGGTGTCTCCTTAGGGCCTGTGCAGGTTTTCCAGGACATCAAGTCCTCTTTTCCTGACCCCTCACAGTCCCCATCCCCAGGGAAATCATTGAGTAGCTGGTCTTCGTGCTGCTGGCTCCATTCACGTTGCACAACGGTTTATCGCAGCAGAACACTTTCGTGGTCGTTTTGCCTTCCTCCAGGCCCCCTTGGGGACACTCTGGAGAGCACATCTTGGAGATGCGGACCTCAGGGTTTTGACCTTTGCCTGCAAAAGAAAACCAAGGGTGGAATCGGTGTTTAAAAGTTCCCGTGCGTCCTGACGATGTTGAGTCTCAAGGAGATAACAGTGTCTCAGTGGCGGAGCCATAGTGACCGGCAGAGCTGAATTTCTTTACCACTAATGACCAGTCTTCATAGGCCAGGAAATGAACATAAGGATATAAAAACAGCCAACTGGGTCAGACCAAAGGTCCCTTCAGCCCAGGATCCTGTCTGCCGACAGTGGCCAATGCCAGGTGCCCCAGAGGGAGTGAACAGAACAGGGGATCATCAAGTGAACCCTATTAAAGTCCTGGTCTTCACAACATCCTCTGGCAAGGAGTTCCACAGGTAGACTGTGCGCTGTGTGAAGGAAAACTTCCTTTTTTTTTTAAAACCTGCTACCTATTCATTTCATTTGGTGGCCCCTAGTGCTTATGTTCTGGGAACAAGTACAGAACTTTTCCTTATTCACTTTTTCCACACCAGCCATGATTTTATAGACCTCTATCCTATCCCCCGCTCAGTCTCCTCTTTTCTAAGCTGAAAATCCCAGAGGGAGGAGTAACGAGGCTTGGGGGCGTGGCCCGGGGGAGGGAGATCCGGCACCGCTGCGCGTCATGCGACATGCATCGATGCCCATGTCACTTGGACCCCTGTTGACTAGAAGCTTGGAAACACCTTTACTGGGGTGGGTCAGAGCCGCGGCTGGTATAAATCTGCAGCGCTCCCTTGACTTCCCTAGAGGCAGGCCAGGTCACTCCTGCTCAGGAGCTGGTCTGGTAGGTCTGAAGCTAGACAGGTGATGAGCGGAGACCTCCGTGGAGGGGCTAATCCGCTCACCGAGAAAGTCAGCAAGACGTGAGCTCCTAAGTCACTTCATTGCTTCTGAAAACTCCGTCCTTTCCAGTTACTTTGCCCCTCCCCCCCGTCTGTCTCACCTGCCTGTTTAATCTAGACCAGGAGATCTTTGGATCAGACCTTACATGGCTTGTCTATACAGCAACCGGCATAAGAAAGCCCCAATCGCTGGCTGCGGTCCTTAGACACCGCCACTGGCCGATCCCAAAACTTACCAGCTCCCACCATATCCCGGATGGTCACGCAATATTTGTCTTCTTTTGCACACATCGCTATCTTCATACATTCCTGGTTGGATGACTCATTGTGGCATGCGTAGCACAGCAGCGAGTGGCCTGCAACAGGAAAACACACCCCCGGTTGAGAATTTGGTAGAAGCGGATGCGTCGTGCTCGGATTATCTGGCTCGGTGGTTTTCAACCTTTGTTTCACCGGCAGATCCCCAAACCCATTCTTAAGGGAGGTGCAGGCCACTTTGAGAATCAGAGACCCGGTCTGTGGACCCCCCACCCCCAGGGATCTATGCACCACCAGTGGAAAACCACTGTTCTACCTTTCAGAGACCCCTTAAAGAGGTGGGGAACGTAAGGCCCGGGGGGGGCCGGATGCGGCTCCTGGTTTGCCTGGATCCGGCCGCCGAAGCTCAGAGCTCCCCCTGCATCAAGGAGCAGGTGTTGTGCTCCAGCCCTGCAGCCCCCTTGTGGGGTTCGAACACCAGTGCTGGTTCCCTGCTGTGGGGCGGGAGGGACCCCGAGCTTCAGGGGCCAGAATCGGGAAAGCCAGGTCTGGATCCAACCCACAGGTGGGGGAGGAAGCTGCTCTTGTCCCCCATTCCTGCCCAGACTCCCAGCCCACTCCTGCACTCTGTGGGTCAGTGGACCCCACTCAAAAAAGGTTCCCCGTCCTTGCCCAGACCCCCACAGGTCTGTGGAGCACAAGTAACAAGCTATTGCTCCAGCATTTTTAAGACAATGAACTCCGAAAATACTTAAACTTAATTCAGTAAGGTTTGTCCACGAAACTGCGGGAAATTGCCAAATCTGTTGGAAGTCACACCCTGGCTCATGGAAACTGGAGGCATCTAGATCGGGGTGGGCAGTATCGGGCCCACTGGCAGGCTGCCGGTCCCCCACTTTGCCCATAGCACTGCCGATTCTGCCCCCGTGCAAGCAGCGCACTAATAGAATTATCTCCCGCCTTTGAAGAGTAACCCTAATAGAGGAGCATAGGTGTGCTTGCTTAGAGAGGCCCTGTGGTATCGTCCGCTGACCTCCGATGATGCTATTTCTAGCCTCTGGGGCCATGTGCCTGAGCTGGAGCCAGGCTGTGAGGCAGTCCCAGTGCAAGCCACCCATCCTGGGCTCAGCCACCCCCAGTTTCCCCAGGGTTGGAACTGGCATCAGCTGGCCTGTTTGGGGAGTCTGCCCCTCTGGGGAGGTCACAGTGTAGGCAGGGAACCTGGCAGCCTGGAACAACACCAGTCAGGAGGGAGAGAGACCCAGGTGTCTTGCCAAGAGAGGGGGGCGTGTTAGGGGAGCCAGAGAGCTAAAAGTGGCTCATGGCAGGGGAATATTGATTCACTTGCCCTCATTGACCTGGAGCTCCCATGGATAGTGGCCAGCCCAGCTGCTGCATAGTGAGGCCGGTCGTAGCAGAGATAGCAAGGAGAGAGGGGCCCCATTACCCCCTCCCCCACCCCTCAACCCGGAGAGTGCGGGCGAACGCCTTTCCGGGCGCGGCAGGGGCAAGCGCAGAGCCAGCAGCCTTCGCAGCTCCATCCTGCGCCGTCTGAGGGAAGCGATGGCACTTTGGAGGAAAAGCTGCAGGCCCAGGCCTGCTGATGGGGGGGAGCAAAGGGGGCGCAGGTACCCCAGAGCCTGGCGATTCAAAGGGGCCTGGGGCTCCCCGTGCCGGTGGTGGGGCACGCCGTACGCTCCACGCAGCTCTGAGGGTTGGGGGAGGGGCACCACTCTCCGGGCAGCAGAGGGCTGAGGGGTGCCCCACCCCTTCTTCCCAAGCCCCACAGAGCCACCCCCCACACACACACACATGGTGGCTACGTCTACACTGGCCCCTTTTCCGAAAGGGGCATGCTAATTTAACAGGTCGTAATAGGGAAATCCGCGGGGGATTTAAATATCCCCCGCGGCATTTAAATAAAAATGTCCGCCGCTTTTTTCCGGCTTTTAGAAAAGCCGGAAAAGAGCGTCTACACTGGCCCCGATCCTCTGGAAAAAAGCCCTTTTCCGGAGGATCTCTTATTCCTACTTCAAAGTGTGCACACTGACCCCAGTGGCCGCTGCGACGGAAAACGGTCCCTTTCCCAGAACGTCCGGTTTTCCCGGCACAGCCCAACCCTGCCCTTGCGTTCAGTTAGGAGCCAAGGAGGCCTCCTGCCAAACTTGGTGGCCCTGGCTCTTACCGCACAGCGGGAGTCCTTGGGCAAAGGGACCCGCAGGGAGATGCACCAATCTCTAGGGTACATATCGAGCTGGAGTCTGGCAAAGGCCAAGGGCGCGACTCAGTTCGACAGGTTACCTCAGAGCCGGCAGGTAGCAACAAGCGTGTGAGCCCCGCAAGGTGTCTCCCAACCTACTGTACCTCGGACGGTACATGTGAGCTCTTTGGTGGCCTCGTTAAAGGGACGCCATCGACTTGAATGTGCTGAAAACCTAGTCGGGCTCCAACCACTATGCAAAGCTGTGGGTTGTTGTCAGGCACCATTTCCTGTTATGCTGCTGTCTCTGCTATTCTCTTCTCACACAATCAGCAGAGAAAAAGCAAGAATGCACAGATGGTGCACGAGGCAGGGGGAACGCGGCCGCATGCAAAGTGCTGTCGGTTGCCCAAAGTAAATACGCTGAAAGCACAGGGAGAGGGCAGTTTTCTCTTATCTCACTGTTACACTCCCTCCATCTCCTCCTCTCCCAGGCCCTGGTGACCTGGGGGTCCTCGAGCCAAGCGAGTCCAAGCGCATGGTTTTGAGTGAGTGAAGTCCGGAGGGGGACGGCAGCCGCACCGGTGTTGTCAGTGTCACTGAACAGCTGCTGAAAGCAAGGGCGGTTTCCCCCAGCACATCAGGAGTGTGAGTCAAGCTGACAGTTTGTGTGGACTCCCGCACTATCCTTGGAGAGGGTAGTGTTGCTGGACGCCTGTGCTATCCTTGGAGAGGGTAGTACTGCTGGAGCTCTGTGCTGTCCTTGAACAGGACAGTGCTATCATGGGTGGGATTGTTCCCTCGAGTATGTCTCCGACCGAGGGGAAAGGTTTCTCACAGCCTGGGACTCCCTTGTCGCAGATGATAAGAATTTACAGTCAGCTAGGTAATTGCCGGCAGGGTTGAAACTAAGGGTACGTCTAGACTACATGCCTCTGGCGACAGAGGCATGTAGATTAGGCTACCAGACATAGTAAAATGAAGCGGCAATTTAAATAATCGCCGCTTCATTTAAATGTACATGGCTGCCGCGCTGAGCCGACAAACAGCTGATCAGCCTCCTGGGATGAGGCATACCTGGGTGGTTGACAAATACCTTTGATGTTGGCAGGGGAGAGTCCAGACTATCGCGCTGAGCCAACAAACATCTGATCAGCTGCCGTGAGGGCAGGGGACTGGACTCGATGACCTCTCGAGGTCCCTTCCAGTCCTAGTATTCTATGATTCCCCTTAGCCATCGGTCCGAGTGGTTGTTGCAAGCCACCAGACTCGCTAGGCTTAGCTCCTTCCCATGTCTGGTCACGGTACCAGAAGAACGGCCAGACTGGGTCAGGCCAAAGGCCCAGCTAGCCCAGGGTCCTGTCTGCCCCCAGTGGCCACTGCCGGGTGCCCCACAGGAAGTGAACCGAACAGGGAATCAAGTGAACCCTTCCCTGTGCCCCATGCCCAGCTTCTGGCAAACAGGCGAAGGACACCATCCCTGCCCAGGTGGCTAATCGCCCTTGCTGTCTCGCCAAACAGCCAGACATGGCCCCAGCCCCTCTGGCCTGCTGGTCCCTTGTGGCCCAAAGACGGGGGTAAGCAAGCACGGGGCCACAGTGCTGCCTGTTCTCTCACTGCTGGACGGCACTGCCTGCCCACGGCCCAGCTGCACCGCCTGTGTGAAAGGGGCGGGGCCTTGGGCAAAGAAGGCGGGGCCAATGGCTAACCTCCTCCTGGCGCATGGTCACCACGGCCTATGCTAATAGCTACTGACGGACCTGTCGTCCATGAATGTATCTCATTAGTCTTTTAATCCATTATAATCTTGGCCTTCACAACATCCTGTGGCAAGGAGTTCCACAGGCTGACTGTGCGTTGTGAGAGGAAATACTTCCTTTTGTTTGTTTTAAACCTGCTGCCCATTCATTTCCTTTGGTGACCCTGGTTCTGTGTGAAGAGGAGTACAGAACCCTTCTATATTTATGTTCTCCACAGCCACCATGATTTTATAGACTTCTCTCTATATTTCTATCCCCTCGCAATCCTCTTTTCCAAGCAGAAATATCCCGGTCGTTAATCTCTCCTCATATGGACGCTGCTCTCTACTCCTAATCCGTTTTGTTGACCGTTCCTGTACTCCAGCTCCGGCAGAAATTTACCACAGCCGCACGGCATCAGTACCACGACGGCTGCAATAACTCCCTGGCATCTGCCATTCCCCAGGGACTTCCCGGCCTTCGTGTCCCCGCTGTCTAACCGCGGGGAATCGCTGGTGTCTCACCTCGCTCCACGCACAGGGTGGCAGCCAGCAGGGTGACGAGAAAAGCCTTCATCTTCCGTGCCGCCTCTCCGCCCGCAGAGGATGCCCAGCAGCTGCACAGGCAGGTTATATACCTACCACAGGCAGCAGTTTTACAGGTTTGGGGTGGCTCATTGGGCAGATAACACATCAGGCCAGGGTGTGTCATGTGCACATGTGGGAGTTTTCCTGCTTGGAGTCTAGGTGACCTATGCTGGCTTCCATGGGGAATTTCCGTGTCTCGCTGGCTTTCCTCCTGCTGGGGTTGGACTGCAGGGGAGGAAGGCCTCTGAGAACAGAGCGGGGCCTTCCGCAGGAGCACCCCCATGTAGGGAATCTCAGGGGCGGATGGATGCTCACACGGTCTAGACTTGTCTCCCCCCCCGTTGTTGAAGGCTGAGCTGTGGGGCATCCTGCCGCCCAGCGGCTCTCGGACCGTGGAGCAGGGCCCGACGTGCATGGGGGCCCCGTTTCCATGGACTCGCCAAGGCTGGCGTGAGACTTGCAGAAGGCCAAGCCCCCTCCGCCTTGGGCGATGGAGAGCCAATTACAGCCCCCCTTCCCTGAGGGCTCAGGCTTCAGCTTTCCTCCTGCCCCCAAGGAGGTGGGGCTGGGGTGGGCTCATGCTTTGCTCTCCCCCCTCCCCTAGGGTCTTAGTAATTTTTATTGGCAGAAGGGAGGTGACGTGGGGTGTTTAGCCAACCCTTCCCTACAGCCCTGGGGACATCTCCTTCGCCGGCGTCCACTGGCCTACTCCGCTGAAGTCAGAGCTACGCTAATTGACGCCGGCTAAGGATGCCCTGTGAACTCAGCCGCCATCTTTCCTTCCCACTGCCGTGAGATGAACCCTGTGCTTTCCTCCCGGCTCCTGGGGGAGGCGCCGCGATGGGGCGTGACTTCACAGCGGGCAGGCGTCCCCCTTGTCTGAAAGGCAAGGCCAGGGTTCCCGCTGAGATTTTCCCCCCGTGAGCGGAGTGAGTTGTGTCTTGTGCGCCAACCATGAGGCCACGTCTCCCCAAGAGACTCTCCCGCACCCCCCTCCCCCTGTCCTGACTGCTAGAGCAAACCCAGCCCCCCACTACGTGGCCCCGGCTCTGGCCCCCAGCCGGCGTCACCAGAGTCCGCAGCCCTGGGGAAAGGCTGAAGCACGGGCCAGGGCCGCGTGATGGCCGCCGTGCTGCTCCTGGGGCAGGGCGGCCACTGTGCAGCTCTGCTGAGGAGATGGGCACGGCCTCAAATTCGTGGTGCGCGCACCTTAGGGGGAGCACTGCTCCAGGCCCCCTGGGAAGTGTCCCAAAATGGAAACTCACTGGTCCCGTCTGACAAGCTCTTCCCCGCACCACGTCGCTCTCTGAATCCCACCCCGTCCACTGGGCCCTCGAGCCCCTTCTGCGCCCGCGTTGCTCGCCTCTGCCCCTCACGGCCGTCCCGCCGCATCGCCGGAGCGCTTCGGGACGGCTCTGCCGACTCACGTCCGTGCAAGGTGCAATACACACGTGGATGGGCATCTAGTGACCTCACCTCACAGTAGGGCAGGCGCCTATGTGACTCCTAGCAGCGAGTGGCTTGTTTCTGCCCCGCAGCATAGAGCCATAGAGCCATAGAGCTGGAAAAGACCTCGGAAGGTCATCGAGTCCAGGCCCTGCTCCAGGCAGGACCAATCCCGACTCAGTCAACCCGTCCGGGGCTTTGTCAAGCATGACGCCTTGTAATGGTGTCATGCTGCTGTGCACAGCGCTGTCATTAGTCATGTAACTCTAATCCCGGCCAGCTCTTGCTAAGCTCGTGGCTGCAGGAGGCGCCCGTGGCAGGGAGTTCACTGGAGGATTCACACATGCCACGGAACAGGAAATACCTCGTGGCAGGTTTCACGGGTTCATAGATTCCAGCAGGAGCCAACATGATCCTCTAGCCGGATGCGAGCCACGGAACGGCGTCCCTATTCATTGCCAGCGACTGTCTCCTTCCACTTGGATAAAAGGGAGCCCCAAATGTATCTTCCCTGCCCTTTTTGTTATTTTGTAGGTTGGATCACATGGGTTCCATCACCCGGTCACACCACTGAGCCTTCCTACCTGCCCTCTAGGGCATCTCACCACCCTGTCCTTCTGGACCAGAGGTATGGTCTCCCCCGCAACCAAGGCACAGAGTTGAGGTAACCACCCCCCATCAGAGCAAGACAGACACCGAACCAGCACAGCTCTGGGGTCTTGTTAGCGCCCAGATACACAGTCTCAGTGCGGACCAAATTCCCAGATCAATCCGTCTTACTCTGTCTAAAATGATTTACACAGAGAAAGCTCATAAATTCGCTCCCTTTATTAGTGAGAGAGGCACACAACTGGGGGTCCCCAGGGAACAACCCTTTACACTGGGTTTAATAATACCAGCAGTGCTTTTATGAAGTATAAAAAGTAGGATTGAAGCGGTTGCAAGTGAAGACAGACAGATCAAAGTAAGGTCCTAAGCCAAAGTAAACAAAACCCACCAGCTAAGCCTAATACACCAAGGCTACGTCTAGACTGGCATGATTTTCCGGAAATGCTTTTAACGGAAAAGTTTTCCGTTAAAAGCATTTTCGGAACAGAGCGTCTAGATTGGCACGGACGCTTTTCTGCAAAGCACTTTTTGCAGAAAAGCATCCGTGGCCAATCTAGATGCACTTTTCCGCAAAAAAGCCCCAATCGCCATTTTCGCGATTAGGGCTTTTTTGCGGAAAACAAATCTGAGATGTCTACACTGGCCCTTTTGCGCAAAAGGGATTTTTGCCCAGATGGGAGCAGCATAGTATTTCCGCAAAAACCACTGATTGCTAACAGTAGGAAGTCAGTGCTTTTGTAGAAATTCAAGCGGCCAATGTAGACAGCTGGCAAGTTTTTCCGGAAAAGCGGCTGATTTTCCGGAAAAACTGGCCAGACTAGACACAGCCCAAGGGTGCGTCTACACAGCAGTGTGAGTTTGGAATAACGGCCGTGATTCTGAAATAGTGCGAGCGTCTACACAGCAATTCCGTTATTTTGAAATAAATTCGCAATACCGGACGGCTTATTCTGACTTCTGCAAACCTCATTCCAGGAGGAATAACGCCTATTCCAAAATAGCTATTTCAGAGTACCAGTAGTATGGATGCTCCACTGCTGCTAATTCGAAATAGCTCCTCCCCAGGGTCATTCACAGTAATTACTCCCCAGTGCTTCCTGGGGCTCTAAATCAAGGTAGCACGTCCACATTAGGGAAGCCTGCCTTGGGCTAATTTTGAGGCTTCCCTGTAATGTAGACGCACTATTTCAAAATAAGCTTTTTTGGGAGTATTTCTTCTAGAATAGCTTATTTCAAAATAAGTCGGTAGGGTAGATGTACCGTAAGAGAGATCGTTACAGATCATAATTCTCACCCTCGTCTTTCTCAGATGCATTTCTTCACAAACCAGAGTTGATTGATCTGTGGACTAGCTCTAATAGCCACTTCTGTATCATCTTCCAATGGGAAGGCAGTTTCAAAGGCCAGCGGAAGGTGACACCCATCCCTTAATTAGAATTTCTCCAGGGTGGGAATCCTTTGTTTTATCTTCCCATCCCCACAATAAAAATACCACTTCTGGATGGATTCCAGCACCAGGGGACATGGTCACATGCCTTTCTGGGGCCAATCACAATTTAGGCTTACAGGAAAAACAAAGTCATTTCCAGATCGTTGCCTTGAGCACTGGGCCATTATGTTTCCAGAGTTTTACTTCCATTGCCAGGAGAGTCCAGAGGTCAGACGGAGTCACTGGGAATATCTGGGACGCCCCGAATTAATTTCTGCTTTGACTAGAATTTATCTTTCCAAAACACAGCCATACTTGATTTAAACATGGCCAGTGCCAGAAATCCCCCGCCCCCCCCCCCCCCCGCCCCCCCACCCCCGGCGCATATCTCCACACGC